CCCCACAATAACAACCCTGTGAGGTGAGTTGGGCTGAGAGAGAGTGACTGGCCCAAAGTCAGCCAGCTGGCTTTCATGCCTAAGGTGGAACTAAAACTCACAGTCTTCTGGATTCTAGCCTGGTACCTTAACCACTAAATTAAATTAAAAACTATGTAAAACAAAAAAACAAAAAAATAGTTTTGCTACCACTTTTCCAAATAAAGTTTTTAACATAGGATTGTCTAGATCAAAAGAGGAGAGAACATCATGCTTTGAGAAGTCTCTCTAAATTATTTCTTTATAACTAATCTATAAAATAGTATTTAAGGATGTATGTACTAAAACTTGTGTATATGTGTGAGAAAGGTTTGCTTTCTAAGCTTTCTTTATGCAAGAATTTCATTTGTTATATCTATGCTAAGCATAGCTATCTTAATTTTTTTACATTAATTTGACACTGTCATGTTATAAAAATAAAGTTGGAAATAGAGCATTCTGTATTCTCTTTGCAGAAATACAGCTGACTGAATGACAGACGCAGATTGTAATCCGACTTCTGAAGTATAAGTGGTATCTGCAAAGAATCTCCCTTTCTCATTAAGGAAGAATACTACAGCAGGAATTTGCAGTTTATTAACTCCAAGTCTTAATAACATATTGGGACACTGTTATGAGAACATCTTTTCATACCCTGGTGATTGTCCTATATGTTGTATAGTTGCTAATATATTCATTCAGAATGTGAATTGATGGAAGAAGATGTTTTGTTAAACATGTGTGAAGGTAATTCGTTTCATGTTCGTTACAGGTAAGCATATATACTAATTTTCTAATACACTGAAAAATTAACTTAAGGCTTGCATCTGAATGCTTACTTTAATTTTCCACAATAATTCAAAGGGTCAGTATATGTATGATTAACACCTAAGTTATATGAAATCTCAAAGTCCTTTTATAGTATCTTTGTTGTTCCATTATATGCAGTTTAATTGCCAAGTTAGAGTTCATCCATGACTGACTCCTTCCAGGTGCTTGTAGACTCTTGACAATACTCTGCTTGTTTACTGTTCCAAATATTGATTGAAGCTTCCTTATTTTTGTCTGTGCTGAGCCATGCTATGGAAACTGTGTAGGTGAGGAATGATATTTGACAGCTGTACCTGGTTCATTGTTCTAAGATTAAATTAATGTTAGAGGTAGCCATTTGTGGGTAAAGGCTGTTTTCATTAGCTTACATTTCAGATGTCTTCTAAGATTCCAACTGAAAGTATTTGCACACATATTAACAGGAAGAATAATCCAGAAACCCATTCCAAAGAACACGATTGTGTTCTGGGATATAGATGTATATACTTACACTTGATTTCTTTAGATTAAAAAATGCAAGTCCATAGTGGTAGCAAATTCCAATGCCTAAGTGGTATTATGAGAATAGGGAATGGCTTATCAAAGTAGAAGGTAATGCAAGAAAAGAGAGCAGTAGGTAATTCTCTAACGGTGCCTGGAGGCTGTAAGGGTCTGGATGGGGAACAACAGGCTCCAGCTGAACCC